ATGCAGGGCCTCATCAGATGCCTGTCTAACACCTCTGGCTGCGGTTAGCTGACTTACAGCAGCCACCAACTAGACTGAGCCCTCTGTTTACCATCTGCTCCGACTTCTGCCCAAGACACCAGGCTTTCCCTTGAAGTCTGTGAGATCCCAAAGAGCAAGTTAAAACACACCAAATGTTAACTATGATCTTAATCATTCTGGAAAGGGGACATCCATTTAAGTTTCTCTGAGTTATACAAACCCGAGAGGTTTCATTACACAAATTTTGTCCAAGACTCTGGAAGAAAAAGTCTCAAGTTTTCCCCTCCAATTCCCACTGGTGCCTTCAATCTATCCCTGGGATCCTTGGGCCTTTTCATGCCTGCTGGGGTCAGGAATGAATGACAGCTCCCTAAAATCCATGAATCTCTTCCCTGAGAAGGGGCAAGAAAGAGCTGTAAAATGTTCTCCTCTCCTGTTGTCTCTTTTCCCTGACAAATTTCAGGATATTATTCAGGCCCTGTTTTAAGGAGGCATGATATGGACAGTGTCATATTTGGTAGCAGTTACTCCTGGGAAGGCCCCTGCTCACAGAAGAGACAGGTGTTTTTGGAATGAGGCTTTCTAGTGGTACTCGTTGAGGAACTAGAAACGCAAATTTTGTAGGGCCAGGAAAGGGAGGAACAGAGTAAGAGAAAAAGACAGTCCCTGGGGACCTGAAGGGATTTGTTCCTTGGCTGATGGGCCAATCCCGCTGACCTTGATCGAGGAAGAGAGGATACCAAGTAACAAATCAAGGCCCCCCTTAGCAGTGATCAAGGGCCTACTTGGGGTTCAAGCACAAAACTCAGTTCGAAGCTATGGAGGACACTCGATGGCCTACACACAGGTGCCAGCGGTCCTGCCTATGGGGTGTCCTCCTCCACCAAGACAAGTGATGACAGGAGACCATCTCAAGCAGTGGGAGATGTGGCAGAAGGCAAGGCAGGAAAGAGCTCTCAGGAAGTGGCAGCCCAGGAAAGAGATGGAGATTAGAATTTAGATTGTAAGTATGGGGCCAAGGGAAGACAGTGAGGGTGATGGCCGGAAGAGAGTTGTAGCAGCGGAAAAGGCAGAGAAGTAGGACTCATGTGACCCTCAAGAAGCACAGCTTCAGTCTGGCTGACAGCACAGCTGGGTCTTGAGGAGCAGGGAGATTATGATGGCCTCTGAGCAGGCCTGATCATGAAGGTGATGAATGGCAGGATGGGAAGTCGGATGTATGGGGCAAACGTGATAACCACTATACTACGGAAACCCGTGAGAAGTTGGATGTGAAACACAAGGCATTTTGGAGCTAGACGAGACCGGCCAGGAGTCCATGTCACTACTGACTGTCATCTGATTTGGGACACAGTCAGTCAGGCTTTGCTTACAGGAGAAGAACCACTGGGTGATCTGGGTTGTGTGTCTGATAATATTGGGGTCTGACCTTAGGCAACCATGGCTGTTGGCCACACAGTGTGCGTGAGATTGCTGCCCTGTGTCTGGGGCTGAAGCCTGAAGCTCCCAGGCAGAAGAAAGTCAGGAAGAGAAGGAGAACAGGACATGCAAGATACAGAACAAGCTGGAACCCAAGGCTGAGCTGGAAACCCCCTCAGTCCCTTCCACTGCCAAACTTCCAACTTGCACAATCACACAGCACCCTGCAAAGAAAGCTGGTGCCCTTTGTCGTGGAGCTAAATCGGACAGGCACCGGCCCAGGAGACTGCACCCCAGGAAGCTGTAGCAGAAGATCTGGGGGGAGCTGGTCCTGCCATGTGGGACACCAGCAAATAAGTCACTTTGTGAGCTACAACAAGGCCTCCTGTCAGGCCCCAGCTCCTAGGTGTAAAGGAATATGATCGCTCTCTCCCTCCTGATCTTGCACAAAAGCCTGTCTCCCTCCCATGCTTGCTCAGCACTGTGCAGGGAGGAGAATTCTAGGAATTATTGTCACAGTTAGTGGGGTTGCTACAGTGCAAATCCCCACGGGGCACATTACTTCACCCAGATGGCTTCCTCATCTGTGAAATGACGGAACTGCCCAGACTTCTGAGGATGGAGGAGTACAAGGCACCTAGAAACATGGTGCCACCCGTCAGTGTATCAGTGTCGGCTTCCTTCTGCCACCCCAGCCCACCCACCCAAGGGAAGGGGGACGGCCCTCCCAGACTGTTAGTGTGAGGAAAATGTTTCGGAAGAGCAACTGGTTGGAAGGTAGCAAATGAACAGAGAGGGATGGGACAGATGCAGGTTTTGTAGGGCTGAAGTTCATGCAATATGTAGAAGCCCTCTAGAAAAGAATACATGATTTAAGACTATAAATTTACGCAGGAAAATAAGCATTTATTTAGAATGAGAAAACAATAGGCTACAAATTTTAAGAGCTATCAAATGCCACTAACATCACAAAATCGAGAAAAATAAAATGTTTTAGCTGCATGAGATACTGCTATAATTCTCTTGACCTACATTTTTACTATAACAACCTTCTGTAACATTCTCTATAGAAATAAAAAGCTAACTCAGTCTTTTCTCTAGCGTGATTTATCAAAGTGTTTTTAAATTATTGATAGTTTAGAAAAGCTACTTTAAATTTCATCATCAGTTGAGATATGTGAGGGCCGGGGATTTAGCTGAGTGGTGCCGCTGCCTGCCTCAAAAGTGCGAGGTCCCGAGTTCGATCCCTGGTACCAAAAAAAAAAAAACACAAAGAGATACATGTATGTGTACACACTGTAAAACGTCAAATGTGGACCTATATACATGTAAGTATATACTCATTTATGTGCATATATGGATATATAAATTTAGTATTTCCTCTAGCAATATTAATCAAAATTTGTTTTGTGGTTATTGATAGTTTAGGAAAGATTTTTTTGACTTCACAATTTGTTGTTGATCTACATTTATCTATGCTGTAAAATGCCAAATAATGGTATCTGTCTACCTATGCTGTAAATTGTCAAGACATTTCTCAAAAAATGTCTTGCAGCCGCCTTGTCACCACCCTAAATGAGAAGTTTGTCAAAGGGAAACTCACAGTGGACAGAGACAGGAAAGTGGTCTTAACAATCATAAAATCTCCTGCTTTGCAGATTTCACAAAAGCACATAACCATCTGTACACAGTGGCTTGGAGGAAACCTCGAAAATGAAGCCCCCTGAGGTTTAAGCTTTAGGAGATTCACAGTTAATCTGCCCCCAAGGAGAACTAGTTAGAGTACCATACCAAGTTCCGCGCAATAACCAGGGTGTTGGGTGATGCTGTGAAGAAGTGTAAATGGAAAGACAGAAAGCCAGACACTAGAAAGCTTTCATGAGAAATACCAAGAGGGCTGGCTTCCTGGCATCTGGGCAGGACTAAGAGTCAGCTACTGATGACTGCAAGAGTGGTCTGGCCAGGAGGAGCAGGAAAATGGAATGGAACCCACCGAGAGCTGGCCTTGCCCTGGCAAGCTGCACAGTTCATGGGACATAACTACTGCGTGTGGGATACTGGGTGCGTGGGGTTACAGAAGGATGCCAATCCAAGGAGCTCCTTTTAGCTCTGGGTAAAGGGCTACTGTTAGGAAAACATAAGCCCTCTAAGTTTCAGCAGAAAGGGGCCCTGGATGGAGACCCTCAACTGAGGAAAAAGAAAGACATGTTCTCAGATTTCCGCCCTGGACAAGACCAGAAGTTGGACATGGCTGGCCCCAGGGACTCAAAGTTCATCAAAAGCCCTTCCTGGCCTCCTCTGAGACACACACACTACCCTTTTCTTTAGCACAATGCTCACCACTATTATAAAAGTAAAATATGCCCAGTGGGTCCCATAATCCCTTGTTCCTATCTGGCTGTGCATCCCAAGTCAGTTTCAGTGCACCATGTTGGAAAGAAGTCCAATTTATATCCTGCTGTTTTCACTTAACATGGAAATGTATCTTTATGTCTTGAAATCCTCAAAGCACAATTCAAATAAATAGTCACTAGATATTTCATCACGCATTTTTATAAAGAGCCAATTTCAAGTGTTCCATGGAAAGGAAGTAAAGAAAATGCAGGAAATCCAAAAGTTAAAGTCTGTACTGCCACATGCTACATTCCAACCTGCCTGTGGACTCCCTCTGGGCCTTGATGACCTCTTGAATTGCTGAGCTCCCTCCACCCATCCCCTGCATTGGCTTTAGGGTTCTGGGAGACCACACTGGGTTCAAACCTCTCTCGCGCCCAACAGGCCCGCCCCTGCCCAACCCTTGGGGCTGCTTCCTCCTACACTGGGCCACCTAACACAGGGACAAAGCCGCAGACTGTTAGGAAACGTGGGGGGTTCCTCTCTCTTTCCTTCCCTGTGCCCAGGATCCCCCAAAGCCCCACTACCTCCCTTAACTTCCCTAAACTACTAAAGCCCTTTTCAAAAAGAGGTTAAAAGCAGAAGAAAAAAATGGGGGGCGGGGGTAGCTCAGCGGCGCCGCGCCTGTCTCACAGCGCAAGGTTCTGAGTTCGATCCCCGGTACCAGGAAAAAAAAAGGGGGTTAAAAGCTTAATGTGTACTTTTGAGGCCGTAAAGACAGCCAAACTTTAAAGGAGCAAATCCTCAAATCATGACATCCGGGCATCTGTAGTTGGTGACACAGACTGGGGCTCCAGGGATCCCGGCTCTTCGGTTTCGAAGGGGTCTTTCCCGAAGGAGCCCTAGCTGCCCGACTTCGAGGTGGGGACCCGTTGGTGTAGGGGGATCCCCTCCGCTCCTCTGCTCTGTGCCAGGCCCAGGCCGGCCAGCACCGCGCTCGGGGTGGGGTCCCCACTGTGCAGGCTGCAGAGGCCCGGCCGGGCTGTGCTGTTTGGACCTGCAGCAGCCAGCGCGGACCCACCCGGCTCTGCCCCCAGGGGACCCGGAAAGTCCCGCGTTCGGGCGGGGCGCGGCGAGGGGCGGGGCGCGGCGAGGGGCGGGGCGGGGCCGAACGGGGCTCCCCGGCTCCCAGGACGCTCGGGAAGAGGCGGGCCCGGTGCGCCCCCGCTTGCCAATGGCCGCGCGGGCCGCGACGTGAGCGGCTCGGCGGACCCCACGCCGGGGCCGGGCCGCAGCCTGCGCCGCTGCCGCCGAGTCCCTGTCGCCCTGGGCCATGCGGCCCCCGGCCCCGGGGCTGTGGCTTTTGCTGTCGCTCTGCTGCCTCGGAACCGCTGCGACCCCATCCGGTAAGCCCGGACCCCCAAGGCCTCCGCAGAGCCCCGCTGCAGAGGGCGGGGGTCCCCAGGTTGCCGGGGTGGGGTGCGCAGCGTTCCCGGGGTTCTGCTCGGTGCCCCGATAGGGTGGGGTCCTCAGGGTTCCACGGTCGCTGGGGCCCCCGGGTGTCCCGATCGGGAGCGTCCCCGGGGCGCCGGGTTCAGGAGGAGCCCGCGGGAGCTGGCGGGGCTGGGGCGTGGAGGCGGGGAATCCCGGCCGAGTCCTGGGAGGGAGCCAGGCTCACACGTCTCCCCTCCCCGCGCCCTGACCCCTGGGACTCTTCCCAGAAAGGCGACAGTCACACGGCCCCGGCACGCGCTGCCGCACGTCCTCCTTCGCCCCAGAACTGTCGATCCGGGAACTGAGTGCACCAGATTTCTCAGTATTAACAAAGGATGATCAGAATCCGGGGCTCGGGCCAGGGCTGGTTCGGGCGACCGCAGACTTCGCTCCCTGGCTGCAGTGAACTTGACCTGTGTGGAGTGGCTCCCCGGGGCCTGAGCTGGAAGCCTGGTCCTCTCCGCCCGGAGTCAGGACCTCGGTCTTGAGGATGTGCCCGGGACCCAGTTCTTACTTTAGCCTGGGGGCGAAACCCACAGTTCCCGGGATCTCACACAGTGCTGACAGAAGTGCCCTGCGCCTTGGGTGGGGGTAGCGGGTTCGGGTTCGGCGGACCCAGCCTTGTAATCCCAGCTCCGCCCCCCAGACAGCCCCTTACCTGGGCTCAGACGCCTCATCTCTGACACTAATTGATGATACTTAGGAGCTAAACCTCAAAACTACAGGAAAAGAAAAAGACTTGAGTGACAAAGAACCTTCTCTTTGTACACGTGTATGTGTTTTGCTGGGGTTTTCCCTGTGTAGAGATAATACCAAGGTTGCATTGCACTTAAATAGCCGCAGGAATGTAAAAGTTCCTCCATTTGAAGGCTTGGGGCTGGGTCCTGTCAGCATCCCTTGGACAAGCCTGTAAGTCTCCTCTCTCCTTAGAGGGGTGCCATCCATAGGACTGCGTCTTGGTTAAATAGTTATTTTTTCATGGGAACTGTTTGTAACTCACATTCGGAAGAGGGTAGTTTCTCCCGACCCCGGGTGCATGTCCATCTTTCTAATGATTGACTTTCGTTGTGTTCCACAGAAGTATGTGTCTGTGGTTCATACTCTTGGATGATCCTTTGTACAAATCTCTTAAGAATAAACGATTTGAACCGGAGATTTAGCTCAGTGGTTCCAGCCCCTGCCTCAAAAGTACAAGGTCCCAAGTTCGATCCCCGGTACCAAAAAAAAAAAAAAAGAATAAACGATTTGAAATTTTTCATAAGAAAGGTTTTTTTAAATCCTGAGATATCGTTAAGTGAAATTATTTTAGTTAAAACACAAAGTGAAAATATCAACAATGATTGTATGGCAAACAGGTATTGGAAAAAGTTTTCACATTGTTCTGTAATTTACAGTTATCCTTCAGTAATCCGTGTGATTGCTGTTCTGGTTGAAGGGAGGGAAAAAGTATTAAAAACAGTTTTGGAAAGGAAGATTTATAATGTCTACCCTTAGAGTTCTTTCAAGGATAGTATATATAAAATATTGGACCTGAGATACTTGTAACATATTTAAGTGGTAGCCATTTGCTCTAGATAGAAAACGTAACCAACAGCATGAAAATACAGTAAGTCGAGTGGCTACTTATTAACTTAATGAGTGGAGTGTTGAAGAGTTAAGTTTTCTGTTTGTCAAGTGGTAGCTGCTATGTCATTTTCCAGTGGATTGTATATGTACTTGTGTTGAAGAATTTTATTTCCTTTCTTTGCAAACTTGAACATCCAAACTTTCAACCACTGGCAAAGACAATAAATACCCAACAACATAAAAACATAAAAACATCAGGAAGTCTCTTGTTTGTCCATAATCTCAGCAATTGAAACTGTCACATAGCTGGAATGTTTCTGGCTAACTGTATAAATGATAATGTTAGCTACCATTCTTAAGAGAGGGTGCTAAGCACTTTGTATATATCTCTGTTTTCTCAACTATTCTTTTGAAGTAGGTAATCTCCCCATTTTACTCCCAAGAAAACAAAACCAATGTTTATGGAAAGAACAGATGATCTACGTAAATAACTTGATGTCCAGTAGTTACTGAAGACAGCGGCTTCCTGGCTGTGGCTGAGAAATGGGGAGTCTTTTCTTCTCATTTATCATTGATGTGCATCATAATGCTGCCTGCACAGAAAGATCCTGATGGGTTGGTCTTGGGTTGTCAATATTAAATGATTGGCCAGGCATGGTGGTGCATGCCTGTAACCCCAGCATTCTGGGAGGGTGAGGCAGGACATATTGCAAGTTTAAGCCTAGCCTGGGCAACTTAGTGACTTAGCAACAACTTGCCTCAAAATAAAAAACAAAAAGGCATGGGGATGTAGCTTAATGTGAAGGTAGTGGTTTGGATACCTGGTACAAAAAAATAATAACAAAATAAAAAGATTGATTTAATATTAATTGTATTTTATTATATCTGTGTAATGTGTTAACCAAACTATGCTGTTCAGACCCTGGATAGCCTATTCTTTTTTTTTTTTTTTGTACCAGGGATCAAACTCAGGACCTTGCACTTGGAAGACAGGTGCGGCGCCACTGAGCTAAATCCCCAGCCCTACCCTATTCTTAAATACATATAAAGTCCAAAACATCTGGATCTAGGGTAGATCAGGGTGCTGGGTTGGGGTAGTGCCAGGGCCTGATCAGACCCTTGGATACCTGTAGGGGGGACAATGGGGAATAAAAAGAAACAGAGACAATATTCAAGGTGCAAGGGTGACCTGGAGGAGCCTGCCTCTAATGGACAGACTCAATGATCTCCACAGTTGATCCACTCTTACTAGCCAGCAAGAAGTACCAGGGCAGGGGTAATGTACTTTTCCTGGAACAGTGACTACAGTAAGAATGGGACCACAAAAAATAAGGAACAAGTTAATCCTCACAGAGGGGACAAGTTAATGAGGATCAAGTCCTTCCCCATACCTGGAGTCCTGCATTTTTGTTTTTTGCATTGCCCTCAGCAGATGTTATCTTGCCTTAGGAGCTCTGTCATTATGAGCTTTCCCCACACAGCTGGAAACATGCAGCCTTCCATGTATTTCCCTGTTCCTAAAGCAAGTCAAACTGGCCTTGGAGCTGCAGGGCCTGTAGCCTGGCCCCCACCAAGCTACACATATCATGGCTGGTCCTCAACAGTTCCTCACAACAGGGTAGGAAGGCTGTGTGGCTATGAGGTGCACAGGACATAAGTCACACAGGTCATACCTCACTTATCTCTCTTATCGTTAATGGTTTAGGAACTGCTGCCCCCGAGACTATGGAGACAGAACATGGAGTGGAGCTTTGTATACCTTCCTGAGCTTTATGGGTCACCCTGGTGCCCACCTATGGGGACTATATTAGTGTTACTGATACAAGCGGCCACCAATTTAGTGGTTAAAACAACATAGACTTATTATCTTACAGTTCTGGAGGTCAGAAGTCTAATATGAGTTTCATGGGGCCAAAGTCACTTGGGCTCCAGATAGAAGGATGTTTCCTTATCTTTGCCAGCTTTTCGAAAGATACACGCTGGTGGTTATATTGGAGCCACCCAGTTATTCCAGAATAATCTCCTTATTTTAAGGTCATCTGATTAGGACCCTAAGTTTTCTCTGCAACTGTAATTTCCCTATGCCTAGCTTATTTATAGGACACAGATTTCTGGGAGTGGGAGGAGGGTGCACTATTCTGCCTGTGACAGTTTAGAACCATTGAATTCTGTGCCCAACATGGGGCGGCCTCTGGGTGGCCGCAGCAAGCAGGGTCTCAGGAACTACTTGGCACCTGTAGAAGCAGCTGTTCCTTCGTGGAGAATCAGGAAACCCTGAAATTGTCCTATCTCAGAAATGAGACTTAAAGAGCAGGATCTGATTCACTTTCATATATGGTTCCTCATGTGCCCCTCACAATTCTGTGAGAGGGAGTATTGTTTCATTATTTGTGAGGAAATTGAGGCTCGGCATGGGACTCAACAGGGTCTTGTGACCAGAGCCCCAGGTTAGCCCTGGGTACCCTGGTGGTTTCTTGCTCAGCTGAATGTTTAGGCTGGGGAGCTGGGTGTCCAGAGAGAGAGGGCAGAATGTTCCTGCTGGCTCCTCTGCAAAGGATGGGAGATGCTGCAGGACCGGTGGTGGGCCCTCTGGGCTCTAAGATGTCCACACGCAGTCCCTGGGCTCTGTGAATGTCTGACCTGACCACGGGGACGCTGCAGATGTGATTAAGTTCAAGCTCCTGAAATGGGGAGATGGTCCTGGATTGTTGGGCCACATGGGCCCAGTGTCATGACAAGGATCCTTGATAGTCAAGAAGGAGACAGAAGAGAGAGACCCAGAAAGATAGGGGCACAAGAAGGACTCCGCCCAGCATTGTTGCAGGAAGGAACCACAACCCAAAGAACACAACCACCTCGAGAAGTGGAATAAACTAGCGGCAGAGAAGCAGTACTGTACTCGGGCTGGATGTACTTAACTGAAAATGTGTGGTTTGAATTTCCTGCTTAGAATTCGGGGACAGTGTGTTGTTCTGCCTTCTGAGCATTTCTTGTTAACCTTTCAGTCAGAGAAAGTGCTATGGTTATCTTGATTTTGCACTGGAGTAAAGGTTCCTAGGCTCTCAGTCCTGCAGTATCTGTGTGGTGACCTTGGAGCTGGAGCTTGAGGGGTTTTTTTCCATGTCACCCCAAAGAGGAGGATTCTGTTACAATTTCATTGTTTATGGCTCACAAACTTTGGTGTGTAGGAGAGTCAGCTGGGCTGGGCATGGTGGCACATGCTTGTAATCCCAGCACTCAGGAGGCTGAGACAGGAGGATTGCTACAAGTTCCAGGCAAGCCTGAGCTACGGAGTTCAAGGACAGCCTGAATTACACAGCAAGTCTCTGTCTCTAATCGCAAAAACAAAATCAAAAAGAAGAAGAAAGAGAATCACTGAGCAACTTGTTGAAAAAAATGCAAATTTCCTCATCTGGGGTGGGACTTACAAGTCTGCATTTTATCTTGATGTTGATGCAGGGTTAGGGTTAGGGTTAGGGTTGAGGAATAAAGTGACTCTGCTGAAGCACAGAAGACACCTCTTGCCCTCCCATGTGCCTTTGAGCTTTTCCTATTTGATTCGAGGTGTTTGTGTCCCTATGTTTACCAAGCTTGGTACCCAAACTCAGGTTAATGCATGTCACAAACTCACCACTTTAATCTTCACCCATCCCCAAGATGAATAATTATTACATATCGAAAACACATAACTAATTTTTTTAAAAAGCCTGGCATGGTGATGCATGCCAGTAATCCCAGCCCTGCGGAGGCTGAGGCAGGAGAATCACTGTGAGTTCAAAGACAGCCTGGGCTGCACAGTGAGTTTAAGGCAACCCTGAGCTACATAGTGAGACCCTGCCTGAGCAAAACAAAAAAACAAAAGAAGAAGAAGAGAAAGGGAGATGGGAGGGAAGGGGGAGAGGGCAGAAAAGGAGGGAAGGGGAGGGGAGGAGAAGGGGAAGGGGAAGGGGAAGGGGAAGAAGAAAACTTTACCCCATCTCTATGGAGTGCACTATTATTGATCCCTTATTCCTAAAGAAGAAACTGAGGCTCAGACACCCGAGTCAAGTGCACTTACAAGCCAGACTGGAGAGGTGGCCTCTCCAGTGCCTCTCCTCCCCCCAGCCCCCCCAAATGTCAGCGGTGCCACCCTTGAAGCCACGGGTGGGGAGGGAACAGGTGCCTGGGGAGGACAGGTAACGAATGCCCTTTCTGTTCCTGTACGGAAATCGTGCTGTGCGCTTGGCTTTGACAGAGTGCATTTAACAATGGCAATGTTTTTATCATTGATTTTTCTCATTTGTTCCTCCTTCTTTTTCTCCCCCCACTCTTTTTTTCTATGCCTTTCAAGACTCTTCCCAGCTGGCTGCTCCACGGAACCCGAAGATTCACCTGTACAATGCTGAGCAGATTCTGAGATGGGAACCTTCCTCCCCAGGCAATGACACAGTTCCAGTGACCTACCGGGTGCAGTTTAAATAGTAAGCAGATGTTTTTGTGACATCCTTGCTAAGTGTTGTGGGGGAGTCGTCCCAAATCCTAGAGGCGGTTACCCCTTGTGGGATTGTCATGAAATCTGCAGGAAGAGGTGTTTCTCTTGTACTTTTAAAATCTCCGAGGACAGAGATTTCACAACCTGCCATTCACCCAGACGCTTAAACACCAGGAGCTGCCAGAGAACCCTGCTGTCTGGCCACGTGACGTCTTGCTTTGATGAAAGTTTAGACTTTAGACTTTCACTGGTTTCGGGTCAGGGTTGACTTCCCGTCCTGGAAGGAAAGGGGCAGCTTTCAGTCTTCATCTTCAGGCTTAAAATTCTCCTACATCTAACCTCACAGGCCAAATTTAGCTTGATTGGGAATTTAGTCAGTTAATTACAATGAATTCTCAGTTTCTCAACTGGTTTTCTGTTCTGAATAACATACTGTTGCACCCCACCTACCCTGCCTCCTTTCAGACTTTTTCATAGTTTATCACTTGATTTGCAATGAGCATATAGGAAAAGAACACAGGCAAAATCTCAGTTCTCAGTTATTACTTTAATTGAAGACTAGGGTAAAACTATTGGCTAAGTCATTTTATATTTACATAAAATGTACAGAAATGGTAATGCTCAGTGTGTGTGGCAATGTGGTGGATGGATATATGCTTACAGGCTGCTTCTTATAGGATTAATTAATGTAGCCCTTTTGGAAAGTAATTCTACACTTATTATTTATACATTTAAAGAATCACAGAAGTGTCCATATTACTTTTACCCTGAGTAGATAATCCAACCCTGCTCCCACCAAAAAACCCAAAGCAATACTATGTTCACAAAGCTATAGGTGAAAATACATATTCATATTAATCAGCAGGGAAATGGAAAATTTTAGCAATCCTGTTAGGCAACCACTAAAAAAAGACAATAATAATAATATGTCATCTGGTAGAAGTTCCAACTATGGGGCCGGGAACGTAGCTCAATGGCACCGTGCCTGCCTCGAAAGCGCAGGGTCCTGAGTTCAATCCCCCATACAAAAAGAAGAAAGAAAGTATTAAGAATTTCAAGATGACAACCACAGGGCACCGAACCGAGCACATTTCAAGAGTGGCTCCCTGTGGTCACGCGCCCTTGAAATTGGATCCACTTTTGGGAGTCAGTAAATGAATCTCCTAGAGCTGGGCAAGGTGTTTTTAGTAGGAGAAAGTCACAGCTGATTTATTAACATTCCTTAGCCTTGAACAGGGAAGCACATGTGTGAATTGACTAGAGGCACCAATATAATAATAATAATAATAATAGAGCCGGGGATTTAGCTCAGTGGTTCCGGCGCCTGCCGCGCAAGCACACAGTCCTGAGTTCAATCCCCAGTACCAAAGATAACAATAATAATAATAATAACTTTATTGATTTTTTTTTGAGACAGATCTCCCTGTGTTGTCAGGCTAGGCTGAAAATTTGAATCTCCCTGTGTCAGCCTCCCCACTATCCTGGGATTAGAGTCCTGGCCACTGTACCTGATGTTGAATTTTTTTTTAAGGCCTGTGACAGTTTCATATCATAGACGAACTTGTTTCACTTTGGTTTGCTTTTGGAAAGCATTTTGTAGATATTTTCTCATGAGTAGAGGTGGGAAAAAGAGAAAAAAAGAAAAAGTAGAGGGGGAGTGGAGGGCTCACTAAAAACCAAAACAGACTGATTTTTTCAACTGTAAATAAAATAATGGAAGAGGGGCTTGCTTTAGTTTTGCTTTAGATGTGTTTACATGTTTGGGACTTTTTATTAATTTTGAGGCTGATGGGACTTAAACCTTTCATCCTGTTTCTTATTTTTTTCCAACTAGTTACCAATATTAAGAAATCTGGAAATTTTGCTTACCAAAACAAAACAAACAAACAAAAACCCTCTCAATTTCTGTTTACTCTTGAAGATTCAGATAGGTAGGCAGTAGGTCCTTTCAGGTCACAGCCCATTCTGGACCGCTGCCAGTAAGGCTCAGGCCTGCCCTGCCCTGTCTTCCAAAAACATTTTTTCTATTTTTTTTCTGATTTCAATAGCAGAACATGTTTGTTTAAAAAGATCTGAAACCCCGGAAAAGTAGAAAGAAAAGGTAAAATTAAAATTGATTGTTCTACACTCCAAGAATCATCAGTATTCTCATTTTAGTATTTTTCTCTCTAGATCTTTTTTTCCCTTAAATGCATAATGCATGCCTTGTTTGAAAGTGTGTGTGTGTGTGTGTGTGTAAAAACAGCACAACGCTGAGGTTCTATTTGGAGGCTCTGCTTTTTTTTTTAACCACATCTCAAAATGCTGAGATTTTTCACATGGTCATTGGTATAAACGTCTTTATTTCATGTTGGACGATATGAAGTACTTGCTGCACATGATGTGTTGAACCTCTCCACTCCTGCGTGTAGATAGTTGACAGCTGGTGACTGTCCTAGATCCTCATACATGAATCATCTTGCATTGTTTCCACATGTTTCTAGAAGAGGGATTGCTGGTCAAGGTGACAGGTGTAGTTAACATTTTCCAAGTGGCCTAAGAGAGGCTGGACAGAGCTCTGGTGTCACACAGGTGCCCGCTCCTGGGGCATCAGTGAGCAGGGCCTGGACTGAAGCTCATGCAGCTCTGGGTGATGATGTCTCTCAGAGCGTGGGGAAAAGGTGGGTTCTGCCTTGCTCTTCCTGCCTTGGAGGAGGGCTCAAGGTGCTGCTGGAGAGGACTCTAAAGGATGTAGACACAGAACAGCAAGACCCTGCAGAGCCTCACCACATGGGAACTTGGGTCAAAAAAAAAAACGCACAGGCATAGCAGTCCCTGAGCCTGAACTGAGTCCCTCACAGAAGGAAGTCCTCCAGCAGCACTTCCTGTTCCCACCACAGACACTTCTGGTTCTCAGCCCTAAATTAGGCCAGAGGAGGCCCAGCAAGGAAGGAACATCTCAGTGTACCAAAGAAGGACGAGAGTGGATAGTTGTTGACTTAAGGAGTACTGACTCAAAGTCTGTCCCACAGATAGAAGTAGGATTCTGTTTGTTTGACAAGTATTTACTTGGTGGCTTACTGGACACTGGGCACTGGTCCAGGTTCTTTCCTGATGTCCACCCACTCAGTCTTTCTGATAATTCTGGGAGGCAGATACTAAAGTTCACCTTTGTCTTACATAGAGAAGTAGAGTGAGAAACAGACATTGGATAACCAGCATTTGAACCCACATGATCTGGCTCTGGATTCCAAGCCTTGAACACTAACCCTATGCCCCTCACAATGAGGATTGCTTGAAAATTTATTTTTTCTAAGTTGGTAGAGGACATCCATAGTATGAGGGAGGCCCTGGGTTCAGAATCTGGAATGGAAGAAATCCAAAATGGTTCATTGCAAGAAGCCCGGATGGCTTTCTGAGTAAATAACCTTAGACTGATAGGTACTGCTGGTGATGCGGGTGCCCTGTCCCGGAGCCTGTGCTCTGTCCGTTATTCATTTAAGTGAAGTCGACATCACCCTATTTTGGGGAACCAGCTCCCTTTCCGGTGCTTGCTTCCCTCAAACTGCTGATTTCTGTGTGTCAGCTCTCATTTAAATTCAGATGGCTTGGGCCGGGGATTTAGCTCAGTGGTTTCACGGCCTGTTGCGCAAGCGCAAGGATCCCCGGTACCAAAAAATAAAAAAATAAAAAAATAAATTCGGATGACTTGTTCCCCTTTCAACCTCTTTTCTGACAAAGATTTTTAAAAAGTAGTTCTGAGCAAAACAGAAGCTAGCTAAAGAGAAAGTAGGGAGAGCTTTTTCAGAGGAATGCAGGAGCAAGAGATAGAGGGATGGGGAGCAGGGAGAAGGGTGAGGGGAAAGGGTATTGAAGGGGGAAAATGAAGAAAATAAAGCTTTTGCAGATGAGGAAAGGACCAGGAATGCAGGAGGACCACAAGTGTGAGCCATTGGGGAACTCAGTGACTTAGTGGGACCCTGTCTCAAAATTTAAAACATAAAAAGAAAAAAAAACATAAAAATAAAAAGAGGCTAAAGATGCCACTCAGTGCAGAGGCCTTGAGTTCAATCTCCAGTACACACACACACACACACACACACACACACGTATGCAAAGGAGGGGCTGAGGAGGAAGAGGGAGAAGAAGAAAAAAAGTAGTTCTAAGAGAGAGGCAGGTTTGGAGGAAAGGACAGAAAGCAGATGATGAGTGGTTAATTCCTGGCGAATCTGGAATGAGCCTTGGAGATGTAGGAGCCTTTTATCTAAGTTTAGCAGCTGGGATTGGCAGAGAGGCAGTTAGAGAGGCTTTAAATATCTCTATAGCTTGGAAAATAAATTACTTACCCACTCCGGAGCACACACACCCCCACACACATATACGTGCGCGCGCACACACGCTCCTGCACACCTAGGAGGAAGAGCCTGTACTTTGAGGCCCCCCCTTAGGGCCTGGGCCCCAGGGCTGGCTGCTGCGCTTGTGTGTGTCAGGCAGCTTGTGCAGAAGCCCCGGCCACGCATCTAGAACCAGCTTTCAACTTACAGCTTGAGCTTGGAGAGGAGATACACATCAGACAGGGTCAGACGTGTACTTAGGAGCATGTGTGAGTGTAAAGTCTGGTGGCCTGCGGGGACAGAGAGGGATCTGTGGCTTTCTAGGCCAGAGTTGCAGCCCCAGCCACGCAGCCCCTAGAGCTGAGGGCCAGAGGCAGATGTGGGGATGTGGCACCAGGACTCTGGGAAATAAATGCACTGTCACGGGATGTGTGGCCATGCATTCCACAGGGTTTTCAAATGGGCGAGGCAAGCCCTCTGTGACAAAATCAAGGTCCATAGTAGCAGAAAGTACGAGTGGAAATCACAAAGCATCATTCCTAAGACAGGCTACCAAGACTGAGTTGGAGCCATTCAGATCAATTGTGAGACAGAATGGGAGGAAATATTTGTAAATCGTGTATCTGATACGGGCCTTGATACAGAGTTTGTAAAGAACTCTTACAACTCAACAACTAAAAGACATATAACTGAATATAAAAAATAGACAAAGGGAATCTAAAATGTCGTAAGCACTCTGGAAAATAGTCTGGCAAGTCCTCAAAAAGTAAACAGTTACCATATGACCCAGCAGCTCCATGCCCAGATATGTGCTCCAGAGAACTGAAAACACTTAGACACCCAAAAACTTCTGTAGTCATAATAGGCAGAAGATGGAAACACCTATGTCTACCAAGTGATAAACATATAAATAAATTGTGATCTGTCCATGCAGTGGAATATTATTTGGCCAAAAAAAGGAATGAAGATGTGATATACGCTACAAGATGAGTGGCCCTTGTCACAAGGAATCAGTGAAAAGCACCAGTCACAAAACACCAGTCATATCTGATTCCACCTTAGTATATGATTCCGTGGCGAATAGAGAAATTTATTGAGACAGAAAGTAGATTAGTGGTTGCCTTTATGGAGTGGTGAAAATATCCTAAAATTGGTCATGGTTGCGTAACCTTGTGCATGTCCTAAACCCGCTGAACTGTTTATTTTTTACAAGGTGATTTATGTGGTATATCAGTTAGTTCTCAATAAAGGTGTGTTTTGTTGTTGTTTTCCCCCTGGTACCCGGAATCGAACTCAGTCTTGCTCTTGCCAGGTCTTTTTACACTTGATCTTTGCCAAAAGGCCGAGAACTGGGGACACATACCGGAAGAAGAGAATTCTGTGAATTGAAATTGTGTTTTCCTTCCCAGCACTGGCAGTAACTGGAGCGACTTCGAGTCCCCGGAGGTGAACTGTACACAGATCTCAGCCACGGAGTGTAAGTTCGCCACAGCCACCCTCTCCGAGGGCTTCCCGAAGGACTTCAATGTCTCTCTGCGAGTGCGAGCAGAGCTGGGACAGCAGAAATCTGCCTGGGCAGCAGTGCCTTGGTTTCAACACTTTCGAAATGGTAAGAAAACATGGGTGTAAGACCTTATTTACAATTTCTAGGCTTTCTTTACTTATCTCTTCAATGAGCGGTATTGGCCTCCTGAACCACAGTCCTGTCCCTCACCCTAAGTAACCAGCAGAGAAATGAGTAGGTTAGTCAGACTCATGCACTGATCCTACAGGCTGATGCTAATGGAGCATAATTTACCAGATTAGGGATGAAATTTGGCCCACTACCTGTTTTTGTAAATAAAGTTTTATCGAAACACAATTATGTCCTTTGTTGTTGTTGTTGTTCTGGGGATGGAACCCAGGGCCTTGCAAATTCTAGACCAGCACTTTACCACTGAGTTAGACTCCCGGGCTACACCCATCTCACCTGGGCCTGGACTGGAAAAGTTTGCCAGCCTTTGTGCTAGATGGGATGTTAGCATACTGGCTCACTGATCACCCTCTCCGAGCCCGCACAATGATTTTATGCTGCAGAAGACTTTTATTCAGCCTTCAACAGTGTCTGACATGGGGTAGAGATTCAGTAAATATCTATTGAGTGATCAAATTAATTAGTGTGTTCCCAGGTATTCGTTCCCTCAATGCCTGGTCTTTTTACCGAAAGTGTGAAGCTTACTTGGATCCTGATTTAGACACACTAAGAGAAGTATAAGACATGGAGGAAATGTGAATGCTGTCTAGATATTTGAAGAGATATTGAGCAGTTTTTGTTTGTTTCTTTTAGGTATTATAATGGTATTTGAATTTTAAAGGGGAGAGGCAAAGGATGCTTAGGATAGTAACCTAATGGGTGGTTAGGACAATAATGTATTGTGTACTTAACACAACAAAAAGTTGGGAAAAAGCAATTCATATTTTAAAGGTACATACTGAAGTATTTACAGATGAAATGATGGAATGTCTGAGATTCACTCAAAATAATCCCAAGAGTAAGAAGAGCAAGAGCAAAATATATGGGCATAAAAGAAAGAAAGAAGGGGACCGGGGATTTACCTCAGTGGTGCCACTGCTGCCTGCCTCGAAAGCACAAGGTCCTGAGTTTGATCCCCGGTACCAAAAAGAAAGAAAGTAGGCTACAAGTTGATAATCAGCTAAGTTGTATGATGAGGTTTTATTATGATCGTGTCTCCTTTCCATATGTTTGACATTTTCTGTAGTAAAAAGTAACGCAGCAACAATAAACACTGGTTTGTGCTAAGTGATCTCAGTGGTAGAAACAGAAGACAGGGAAAAAGCCCCTGCTGGGTGGTCATCTACTGTGTTTGTTTTTTGTTTGTTCTGAGACCAGGTCTCATGCTGTAGTTCAGGCTGGCCTTGAACTCGTGGCTCTCCTCCTGCCTCAGCCTCCTGAGTGCTGGGATTATAGGTGCCTGTGCACCACCACATCCAGCAATGGTCGTCTACTATGGGTGGTCATTTGTCCTTGAGTACAAAACCAGACTACATTTTATCTGTGAAGTATCACCTCAGTGGGAATTAGGAATTTTTAAAAATGCTAGTTACTGCCACTGCCCAGGGGATAAGCAATAGTGATAGAAGGGAGACCCATGGTCCTGGCTCAGCCAGCTGCTGCTCCCTGACCTCCCACCCTAAGGTGCTCAGTGCTGTTCTTGGTTGTCATTCTCTGCCCTAATTTTAAAGTTTAAAGCAGAAGTGTTCTCAAATCCCAGACTGTCTTGGTCACTTTTTTTTCTTTTGCAACACTGGGGATTGAAGCCAGGGCCTTCACACTAAGCTACATCCTCAGCCCTTTTTTCTTACTTTGAGACAAGGTCTCACTAAATTGCCCAGGCTGGGCTTGAATTTTCGATCCTCCTGCCTCAGCCTCCCAGAGTCCTGGGATTACAGGTGTGCACCACCAGGCCTGGCTTTTAGTCACTTTTCGTGGAGTTAGAACCAGAACCCATGTGAGGTTACTAAGTGGAGGAATGGGATAGTGGTTGGAGGGCAGGCTTTGATGTCTCATACACCTGGGTTCGTATTTCCAGTGCAGTCATTTACTGGCTGTGTGACTCTGGGCAGGGAACATCAGTCTGGCCTTTGGTTCCCTCCTCTGTGAAGTGGGAGTGACTTTATAGGGCACCTGCATGGTTTCTGTTTGAACTCACAGCAACATCTGCTGTGCCCAGAAACTGCTGTGGTCGAAACCCAGTGTGGCCTCCCTGGGCGGCAGACTGTGCCTTCTCCAGGGGTGAGGCTTATCAGGTAGATCAGATCCAGACTTGGTCTTCAGAAGGGCAGGCCAGTGAACCTTGTCCCTTCATCCACAAGTGATGAGTCATGGCTGTCAGCCACGGCCACTCCCTAGAGCACTTCCCGGGAAGCAGGAAGTCGGCTGCTGGTGGTGGCCCTGAAGCAGCCACTTTTCCATGCTCTACCCACCTCGAAGTGCCAAAGGAAGCTGGAGAATGTCTGTGAGCAGCTGCAGAGAAAGAGCTCTGTCTCTAGCAGCCAGGCCTCGAGCCTCGCGCTGGCTGGCAGTAGGCCAGGCTGGGCCGACTCTGCCCCTCGGCCTCATCTGGACCTGGCTCCTCCACTGCCGCTCGTGAGGTCAGAGGCACAGCTGCAGACTCTGCAGGGACCAGTTACTGCTGCACAAAGGCAAGCACATGCCTAACCCTCCTCCTCGCCAAGCTGGAGCACCCAGGGCGGAGGATGGAAGTGGGAGAGGAAACCCAGCCCCACTGGTGTGAACAGCTAGCTGTTCAGTGATGGGACTCTCTCCTTATGTAAGATGTGCTCGTGGGACTTGAAGGAAACAACCTGTACTTTGTTTGTTTGGTTGGTTTGGGGTTTTGGGGTTTTTTTGTTTTTTGTTTTTGGTACCAGGGATCAAACTCGGGTCCTTGTGTTTGTGAGGCAGGCAGCAGAACCACTGAACTAAATCCCTGGCCCTAGTTTGGGGTTTTTTGAGACAGGGTCTTTCTGCATAGCCCAGTCTGCTCTTGAATTCACTGTGTAGCCGAAGCTGGCCTCCAACTCGAGGCACTCCTCCTGCCTCAGCCTCCCCGAGTGCTGGGATTACAGATGTGTGCTACCACACCCGGCTCTGTAACCTGTACTTTGATCTGAGTTCCTTGAGTTAATTGGCTCATTACATGCTTGCTTGATAAATACTACTGCCTTTCATTTATAGCATGTCATCAGTTACAGTGCTTAGCTGTCCTGTGAATTCTATGAAAAGCTGTAACAAATAGATTCACAGTGGTAACATTTCAATCATTTCATTATCATGTTCAATCTTAGTGTTATAAAAAGCTAGGAGAGGGGCTGGGGATTTAGCTCAATGGTTCCACCGCCTGCCTTGCAAGCACAAGGTCCCAAGTTCAATCCCCAGTACCAAAAAAAAAAAAAAAAAAGCTAGGAGACAAACATTCTTAAAATAGTAAATATAAGCCAGGTGTGATGGGACACACCTGTAGTCCCAGCTGCTCGGGAGGATGAGGCAGGAAGATCACTTGAGCCCGGGAGTTCAAGAGCATCCTGGGCAACATAATGCAACTTTGTCTCAAAATAAATAAAGTTAGTAAATACCACTTTTGCTCACTTCCATTGGAACTGTATTATAGGTGAGGGCTAACTAACATTTTCCCCTTCTCCAAGAAAATCTGACCTTTGCTTAACCCTCCAGTTCTGTTTCCCTCTGAGAACCTGGCTACCATAAAGGTGTCATGGCCACCTTGATACTGGCAGCATTACGTGTGGTCAAACGACCCCTAATGGGGAGACGGTGTCTTGCCTAGGACAATCTTAAAGACTTGGTGGGAAGCCATGCCTTCGAGATTTGCTGAGTGCAGTGGTTCTTGTACCTGGGCAGAAAACAACTTATGTGGAGTTGTTACAAGAGACACTCTGGCTCTGAGTGCCTCTCAGCCAGGGAGGGTCCTGTGATCTCACCTGCCTGGACTGAGCTGTCCCCAGGGGCCAAATTGCCCTGCCCTGGGCCACCAAGTGCAGTGCTGTGGGGACCTCACCTTCCCCTTGGAGCTTGGCTTCCAAGTGACTCTGGTGCCGAGCAGCCTCTACGAGTCTTATGCATCTAGTGCAACCTCAGCTCCTACAAACACAAACGCCTGTGTGTGCACTGTGTGACATACACACACACAGATCTGCACAGTACACGCACGTGTGTGTGTGTGTCTGTGTGTTACATGTGGCTTTCGTTTGTGCTCCTATTTCAGCCACCATCGGGCCCCCAGAGAACATCGTGGTCACCCCAGGAGGAGGCTCCCTCATCGTCACGTTTTCTGCACCCTTTGACACCGGAAACCCCAGGGATGCCACTTTTTCCTATTACGTCCATTACTGGGAAAAAGGTGGAACCCAACAGGCAAGAGCATTTTTCTTCTTTGTTTTGATTTTTTTTTTTTTTTTGGTACCGGGGATCGAACTTGGGACCTTGCATTTTCGAGGCCGGTGGCTGAACCACTGAGCTAAACCTCCGGCCCTGTTTTGATTTTCTTTTCTTTTGAGTTTCTGATTCAGGAGAAGAAAGGAAACAAACGTAGGCCAGGAGACCAGTGTCTCCCAGTGAGCGTCTCTAAGAGTCTGAGCCCTGAGCCTGTTTGAATTCTCCTCCTCATACCCCATTTTCTCCTGTCTGTGCTGAGACTCCCACCACCAGGTGGCGCTGAAGGGCCCCTCCCTCGTGTCCCCCGTTCTGCTGTTGGGACCCAGACATTGCTGATGCATTGCCCTGGAAGCCTTTGCTGCCTCTGCACTTGGGGGAGGTTTTTAGTGGATCTGTCTGTTCAAACTATTTATATAGTTAAGCCTTGCACACCTCCATAGTCTTGGAATTCCATTCCATTTTATTTAGCATCAGAGCTCCAAAAAACACCTGGGTGGCCCCAGGAGAAGAGTGCTTTTTCTTCCCCTCTCCTCTCCCTTTGATGGCGATACTTCCGTGCCCACTTTTCATGGCCAATAAAAACAAGGACTCCACAACCACGCTCTGCAGAGTTTGACTGACAAATGGTTTGAACAGTCTGGAGGGGGCGGCGCATATGTGACGGGTGAAAGCCGTCCGGAAGAAGAGAGCGAGCGGGGCCAGCAGGTATGAGTAGGCCTGGCGCACATGGAGACCTGTGATTGCCCGGATGGGTCGAAAAACAGGCCTTGTGAGGGGTGTGACAGGCAGGAAGGTGGCAGAGGGGCACCAGGTCAAAAGGGCTTGGTCACCCTGGATGGTTGGAGTCCAGCCATCTCCTGATGACAAATCCCTAAGGTCATTTTGACCAAAACTATACAAGGAATCGGCTTGTTTCAGTTCAGACTAGAAGCAGTTTGGGTATTAAAGGAACATTCTTTCTTAAAGTATTTTTTCTCTGTTGACTTAACTCAAAGTATCTAGATCAGATTAACCATAAAACACAAGATGTTAATCTTGAAGGAGAACATTTTATCCCAGAATTTGGGATTTGTTAAATCCCAGATGCTGGGTTTGGGGCTCCAGAGACCTCACGGTACCAGGGATTGAACTCGGGACCTTGCGCTTATGAGGCAGGCACCAGAACCACTGAGCTAAATCGCCAGCCCACCATCAGCATTTTTTTTTTTTTTTAGCTGAAGTCTTTTATTAACTCATGTATAATTGCTTGTCTTCTGGTTTGTTGAAGCAGTAAGTCAGACAACACTTGCCACAATAATGCCTGTCAAAGTGGCTTGCCATGAAAACTCCAGCACTGCATTCATCTGAAGGGCACTCCCGATGAAGACAACTGATTTTGCCATTTTCATCCATCTTATAGTATTTCAGGACAGCCGACTTAACCTTCTTTCTCTTATGCTTATTCTTCTTGGGGGTGGTGTAAGACTTCTTCTTCCTTTTCTTAGCACCACCACGGAATCTCAACACAAGATGAAGGGTGGACTCCTTTTGAATGTTGTAATCAGACAAAGTACCTCCATCTTCCAGTTGCTTACCAGCAAAGATCAGCCTTTGCTGATCAGGAGGAATTCCTTCCTTATCCTGGATCTTGGCTTTTACATTTTCTATAGTGTCTGAGGGTTCAACCTCGAGCGTGATGGTCTTCCCCGTAAGAGTTTTTACAAAAATCTGCATCTTGGCGGCGGTCCCACCACAGATGGCGGATCCGAAAGACCATCAGCATTTTTGATCACTCTGCTCAGCAGTTTTCACAGACAAAGCGTGTCCACTGCAAGGCAGGGACTCTCAAAACAACATCTCGTTATTCTTTGACTGTTGGGTTCACTGTGAATGAGGAAACTCAGGGAAAGCTAGAAGTGGCTTGAGGCCATCTAGCTGGGTGATTTTCACGCGTGCTCGTGGTGTTGTTCCATAGGTTAGAGACCCTGTCAAGAGCAACTCCATTTTGCTGAATAACTTGAAACCATTCACAGTGTACTGTTTACAAGTCCAGGCACGACTGTTTTGGACAAGGCCAAAGATCATTAATCCCGGGGATTTCAGCAACACGTTTTGCGAAGAAACCACGGCAGATGGTAACGCATCCTTCTTGGATCCTTTATGAGCTGGGGAAAGAATACTCCTAAAATAGTGAGAACAGGAGATATTTATGAATTGACAGGTGGTGGGGACAGATCAGCCCCAGAAAGGAGGTACGGGGGGAGTGCTTAACTGCGGGTGTAAGGCGCTGGGGCTGAGATCTGAGGCTGCCAAACAGCAGGCACACGCTTTGTTTTATTATACCATCACCTACTAGCTACAGGTTGAGTATCCCTTATCTGAAATGCTTGGGTCTAGGAGTGTTTTGGATTCCAAATCTTTCCATATTTCAAAATATTTGTTTTAAATTGGACATGGTGGTGCAGCATGCCTATAATCTCAGCACTCTTCAGAGGCTGAGGCAGGAAGATTGCCATGAGTTCAAGGCCAGCCTGGGCTACATAGTGAGTTCAAGTCCAGCCTGATCTATATAGCGAGACCCTATCTCAAAAACAATAAAACAAAAACAAGAATATTTGCCTGTACATAAGGAGATATCTTGGGATTGGGACCCAAAGTTCACTTATCTCTCAGATACATCTTATACCAGTGACAGGAAACCTTTTAGAGACGAATGCCCAAACTGCAACTCAAAACCCACTTACTCATCAAGAAGTCCCAACAGTCGAGTTAAACCTAAATACAGAGGTTTTAGTTTAGAAAACCAGTTCATACAATAACATCTTTTGTCTTAAAACAAAAACACAATAAGATGCATCCCATAGGTTCCCCACCACTGCCTTATACACATGGCCTGAAGGGAATTCTACACAGTATTTTGAGTGCACTTGGATTTTATTTTATTCATTAAGTTTATCGGTACATTTTAGGTATAAATACATTCATATACATTCATCATTGGGATCTTGCACCTTTACATAATCTCTCTTGGTTCTTATTTTTTCCCCTTCCCCTGCCCTCCCTTCAACCCCTCCACCCTTCCCTATATTCAAAGAGTTTGTTTCCATTTTTTCCTTTTCTCATATTTTTTCCTTTCCCTTCCTTCCTTTCCCCTACCCCTTACACTCCCCCTACCCCTTTAGACCTTTTCTTCCTATTTCACATTATCTGCTATACATTTTGATCCTCCTTTACACTTTGAGTTTTTCACACCAGAGAAACTATTTGATATTTACACATATGTGTCCTATTTTATTTCATTTAAGAGGATGGGCTCAATATGCATCCATTTAGCTATAAATGTCTCTAGATTCTCATTCTTTATGGCTGAGTGGGGCTCCATTTATTTTATAAAAAAAAAAAAAGATAAATCTTCTTTATCCAGTCACCAATTGATAGGCATTTGGGCTGTTTTCAAGATTTAGCTATTATAAACTGTGCCGCTATAAACATGAGTGTGCATATATCACTGTGGTATCTTCCCAAAAGAATTAAAAGCACTTACAGGGCTGGGGATTTAGCTGAGTAGTTCCAGTGCCTGCTGCACAAGTGCAAGTTCCCGAGTTCGATCCCCAGTATCAAAAAAAAAGAATTAAAAGCACTTGGATTTTTTTACTGTGACTCATCAAGCAAGGTCAAGTGTGAAATTTTCCCCTTGTGAGCATCATATTGATGATCAAAATGTTTCCAGTTTTGGAGCATTTTAGATCAGATTTTTTGCATGAAAGATCCTCAACCTGTATTAATTAATCATAAGACTAGGAGCCAGGAATGGTGGCTCACGCCTCTGATCTCAGCGCTCGGGAGGCTGAGGCAGGAGGACCACTGTGAGATTGAGGCCAGCCTGGGCTACATAGTGAGTTCAAGGCCAGCCTGAACTATATAGCAAGGCCCTGTCTCAAAAAAACAAAAAAAGCAGAAGGTGGGGCAGAGGGAGGGGGACCCGCCCATTCTCCCGAGGCAGGAATGCTATTCAGGCAGGTGAGATATGAATGGGTGTTTGTATCAAGTGTGGGATGGTCATTTTGTTCACTGTTTTGTCATCTTTTAGCCTCCACCAAGCTGCAGCAGATCATCCTGATCTCGATGGGAACCTTTTCGCTGCTGCTGGTGCTGACGGGGGCCTGTTTCTTCCTGGTCCTAAAATACCAAGGGCTGATTAAATACTGGTTTCACACTCCACCAAGCATCCCATCACAAATAGAAGAGGTATGTGCACCACCCCTAAGAGCAGGAGGCACAGAGCCATGAGCACAGAGATTTAGTTAAAATGGCACAGAGTTGCCAGCTGTGGTGATTCATGCCTATGATCCCAGCCCTCTGGGAGGCTGAGGCAGGAGGATCGCAAGTTTCAGCCGAGCTGGGCATCTCAAGGCCACGTAGACAGTCTTGTTTCCTGCACAGCCCCAGCCCTCTGAGGCTGCGGGAGGCATTTGAGACACGTTTAGAATTAGATACAGGACACCTACTGCGCAAGCGCAAGGACCCGAGTTCAATCTCCGGTACCAAAAAATAAAAAATAAATTTAAAAACTTTAAAAAAAAAAGAATTAGGTACAAAAAATAAGGAAGAACATTTGGAAGTATTTGCTTCCGGGGCTGGAGTGGTGGAGCACTCGCCTAGCACACACGAGGGCCTGCCTGGGTTTGGTCCTCAGCATCACAGATAAAAGTGTTTGCTTCCAGAGAGTTTACAGTATTCCTGGCAAACTTGGCGTACAGGGATTAGAAACAGAATCTGACTTTGTCATCTCTAGAACGAAGCAATGAGTCGCAGCTGTCACAGCAGTGGCCCTCCTGGGAAGGGCTCTGGTCCCTGTCCCTCCTCCTATGGGACTGTATTGAAAGCACACAGGGGTCTGTAAACTCCCTGATTAACACTCAGCGGTCTCAGCGAGTTACCCACGCGCCCAAGTACTCTCTCAGGGAAGTGAGCTTGCTCTGAAAGCACCGAAGCTTTGGGTTGGCTTTCCTGGGAAAGTGTGAAAACCATCTGCCAGAGGTCGCTGCAGTTACATGGGAAGAATGAATCAGGTTTCACTTTGATTTCTGAGGTTTCGCGAGGACACAGGATGCGAGTGTGTCCCTCCTTAGCCAGTCAGCTCGGCACTCACTGTACTGAGCAGCTTGCGGGTCTCCTAAGAGCCAGCACCGGTTGCTCGGTACCGGTACCGTGGTGAATGGATGGCTGGGCGGAGAGAAAGGGCAAGCTCGGGGCTGTGAGGTCGATTCGCCTCACACCTCGGGCCCAGGCTGAGCAGGCCAGAAACCACGGCTGGGGAAGGGGCTGGGCCCAGTGCTTTCCCACTTTCGCCCTGTGTGCCTCAGTGACAGCTTCCCTCCTCCTCCTTGCCTGAAAAGTTCCATTTTGGAGACACTTTAGGGTTAGTCATCCACAAATCTACACCGGGGCAGTGAGTATTCCTGCTTGCTTTTTCTACATGGTTGGCCCTTGGATTAGTGTATACTTATTGCTAAAATGAGAGGTCAGCCAGGCCGTGTAGGGGTCACCCTAAAATAAGGGTGGCAGATGGTGCATGCCTGTAGTCCCAGCACTTGGGAGGCTGAAGTGGGAGGATCACCCCTCAAGTTGAAGGCCAGCCTGGGCTAGTGAGTTCGAGACCAACCTGAACTACATAGTGAGACCCTCTCTTAAAAAAAAAACAACAGATAAGGGGTGAAGGGTTATTCGCGTACTAGAACCCACTTCAGGTCCAGGCTGCAGCTCAGTGGTACAGCATGCATCTAGCATACACCAGGCCCTGGGTTCAATCCCAGCACTGCAGAGAAACAAACAAAAAAATTATTTCATTGGTGGACAGAACAAAGTCATACCTAAATAAAATACAACAAAAGTAAAGGTGTGGTATATGAAACTGATAGGCTAATTACAATATTGGTTTTCAACCTTTTCTAGTATTTAAAGGACCCAGCCCAGCCCATCTTAGAGGTCCTGGACAAGGACAGTTCGCCAAAGGATGACGTCTGGGATTCTGTGTCCGTCATTTCCTTTCCAGAGAAGGAGGGAGAAGACATGGAACCAAAGCACGGGTCCAGCTGGGGGACCCCAGAGGTGGACGCTGAGCAGGGAAGCTGATAACCATCCTGCCGGACCAGGCAGAAACCCACTCCCAGCTTCTGCCAAGGAAGCGAGACACACAGAGTCTGGGGAGAAGACAGCTTAGGACTTTTTCTAAGAATTTCCTGAATCACCGGGAAGGGTGGTGCACACCTGTGAGCCCAGCACTCAGGAGGCTGGAGCAGGAGGATCACTGCAAGTTTGAGGCCAGCCTGGGCCACGTAGTGAGTTCAAGGCCAGCCTGGACTACATAGCGAGACCCTGTCTCAAAAACAAACTTTTCTGAATCATACAAGTTTCTAGGATGACTACAGAAATATCACAGAAAAATTCAGGTTTCTTTTAAACACTAAAAAGGCGTGAAATGTCTTGTCTGGAATATGTCTGTGGCACACCTGTGATGGCATCACTGTTGGTTGGCCCAGGCCATCAGGAGACTAGGTCTTCTCAACTCTGACAACTGGGTTGTCCCAGCCTGTCCCAGCCTGTCCCAAGGAGGGGCCGAGGCCCCATCCAGCCTGCTGGCTTAAATGTGATTCACCCTGGGGTGAGGATGTAGCTCTTGCCTAGCATGCACAAGGCCCTAGGTTCAGTCCCCAACACACACACACACACACACACACACGTGATTAATCTTATAAGGATTTTTCTAATTTAAGTTTTTTTAAAAAGCTAGAAATGAAGCGTGTGGGCTGGGGATTTAGCTCATTGGTTCCGTCGCCTGCCTCGAAAACGCAAGGTCCTGAGTTCGATCCCCAGTACCAAAAAAAAAAAAAGAAATAAAGGACTGTGTAGTGAACTTTTGAACTAGTCTGTGTGCAGTCTTTTCTCTACACTTTGCCTTCTGTATTTTGGCCTATTTTCTGCCAAGTTTTGGCTTCTTAGTCTGTGTAAACTTGTGTTTTCTTGAGTAGCACCCAGTAGAGCTGATGGGGCCCTGGGGAACTCAGCGAGAACACTGCATGTGTCATGTGATCCCTTGAAGAGTGATGAGGGGTTTTCAGAAGTGACACTCGCATGTGGTTTATGTGACGAGTCACACTGTGTTGAAGAGAATGAGCTCATCTGTGGTGTTTTCCTCTGGACACATGAGGCCTGATGGTGCTGGCTCTGGGGGCTCTTTTGTTCAGATGACTTATGCCTGATACCCTGCTTTGGGCAGAAGCCCTGCTGGCCTGCTCTCAACAGTGGGAGAGGAGGCGTCATCTGTAGGTCGATGAAGTTTCTAGCACTGGGTGGTGAAGCCGCCTTCTCTTCCTCTGCTGGGCCAGTCTTGCTGGTAGGAAGTTGGATACTTTTCCTTTAGGTGTTGTGCAGTTGGCCATCCATACAGGTGGGAGTGAAAAGGACAGGGCCAGGTGTGGAACCCCGTGGTAGAGTGCCTGGCCAGCGTGTTCAGGGCCCTGTGTTCCATCCTCAGCAACAAACAAAAACAGAGGAGCACCCCCCACCCCCACGGCCCCTTCCCCGTGCTTGCAAGTCTTGTCTTAGGTGCACCTCGAGTTGGCATGGGTTTGGAGGAAGAGTTAGTAAGTGGGAATGGTAAAGATTCTCTTGGCATCATTTAGGACAGAGGAGCTTCCTCAGAAGGGCTACGGGAGGGGGCTGAGTGGGGACAGAGGATGTGAAACAGTCATCCTCCGTCTCCTTAGGAGATTACTGCAGGTCCAAGACTCCCTTTGGTACCAAAACCCATAGACACTCAAGTCCCTTAGATAAAATGGGGTTATATTTGTATATAACTGAGGCACGCCTTCTTGTACACTTTCAGTTATCCATGGCTTACATATTTATATCCTTAATACGATGCAAATTCTGTGTAAATTGAGGCTGTCCTCCATTGTTTGGGGAATAATGACAAGAAAAAATTCTGCACATGTTCAGTACAGACGCAAGTATTTTTAATTCACGGTTGGTTGGATCCTTCAAGACAGAACCTGTGGAGACAAGCGGAGACCGTAGAGCAGAAAGAGAACAGGCGAGAGTTATCCCCGCAGGAGGGGCAGAGACTGATTCTGTTACAGAGTACAGGCTTAAAGTCGGGTACAGCGTATCAGGGGCCAGCAGGCCAGCTTTGGGGACCAGAGTCTGAGGAGGCTGAAGTGGATTCCAGATGAAGTTGGTCTAATGTCCTGTGCCCAGAAAGGTAGTCCTGTGGGTTGAAGGTGCAGCTAAATGAGTAACAAACTCAGAGCCCAAGCCCAGGGTCAGTGCTGTGGACTGGTACTCTTGGGGGAGAATCAGGCTGTCCCTGGTTGTTCCCTTATTGGGGCTGACACCAACACCAAGCTTCACCAGTCTCAACCTCCCGGGGCATCATGGGAAAGCACGGCGAGCAGCAGTTCCACAGGCCTCTTCGTCATTCCAAGTCAGTACACATCCAAGTGGGTAGGGCTGGCCTGCTGCTCAGGGGGAAAGGACAGGAGTGACTGGAATAAACAACGCACTCCCTTTTTAGTAGGATTTTCTGAAAAAGAAATATCTGGTTCTGCTTTGTACAATGACTAACCAATAGAATTAATACCACTAGCTTTAAAAATACTAGGACTTTAATTTTTAGTCAATCTAAGTATAATAATAAGATTTGAGTTGGAAGCAATCCTTTTTGGGGGGTTGGTTTTTCTGAGGCAGGGTCTCACTATGTACTTCAGGCCGGCCTTGAACTTGGCGGTGACCCGCCTGCCACAGCACCCCAAGTGCTGGGATTACAGGCATGCTGTAATCTCATGCTGGTTCAATTGTCTAATCATCTATAACAGGGTATAATCCATAAATGGCTGGCTAAATCCACCCCATTCCCTATTTTTTTATAGCCTGTGAGCTAAGAATAGTTTTTACATCTTTAAATTGTTTGAAAAAAAATTTCATCACACATGAAATGATATGAAATTCATAACTACAATTGGTTATAATGTTAAAACTACCTTGCCACAAGTTATATTTTGAGAACCTTTTTTAGTAGTTTAAAATTATTTTGTAGTAAAATATTTCTAAAAATCAAAAAAATGGGGCTGGGGATTTAGCTCAGTGGTTCTGCTGCCTGCCTCACAAACACAAGGTCCCAAGTTCAATCCACAGTACCAAAAAAAAAAAAATGAAATTTAAATTTCAACATCCTGAAGTTTTATTGGAACCCAGTGAGTTTCATTTGTTTGTACTTATTGTCTACAGCTGCTTTTGCAAGACAAGGCGGAATTCAGTTGGAACAGAGACTGTCTGGCCACAAACCCTAAAATAGCTGCTACCTGCCTGTTTATGGAAAGAGCTGCTGACCCCAGTCTGGTCAATGAACGGCTCATTGCAGGGCTGCAGAGAGATCCACCCCTGTTGTTTAGGGTTATGAATTACAGCAGGCCCACACACTCACAGGGAGGTCTGGGTCATAAGCGACAGGAGGAGGACACTTCACTCTACAAAGCACACTGGACCATGCACAAGGGAAGGCTGGGTAGAGTGTAGGAGGATGCACAAAAGTGGAGGAGGGAGCTCTATGGGAAGAGTTGCTCACCCGGAGGGGATGTAGCTAGCTGGACTGAGGCCACGTGTAGCCCATACGGAATTTGTGTGTGAATAAGATAAAGTCCCCTACCTCCAAAACACTATTTCCAAGTGCTACAAATTTTAAGTAAACAGACACATTTCCTGTGCCTGCTCTATGAGCGGCATCACCTAGCATTGTATGGTGCACACCGGTGAAGATCAGACACTGGTGTCCTTTTTGTTTTCCCCAGTACCAGAGATCGAACTCGGGACCTTGTGCTTGAGAGGTAGGCAGCAGAACCACTGAGCTAAATCCCTGGCCCTCAGACACTGGTGTCCTTGAAGATAAATCCTTGGGGTGAGCTCACATCATACAGGAAGTGCTGAGGCCCAGAGGGTGAAGGACAGAGGCTTTCAGAGGAGAGAAGGCCCCAGGCAGGAACTGGAGGTGTGGCAGGGACAGAAAAGGGAGATTTCTGTCTGCAGGACACCACCTGATGTGGTGCTGCTCTCTCCCTCTCCCTTTGTATGTGAAACAGCTTCGGTCATACACTTGTATGACTTTAATTTAAAAAAAAAAATTTTTTTTTTGAGACAGAGTCTTGCTAATGTAGTCCAGGCTATCCTCAAACTCCCAACAATCCTCCTGCCTCAGCCTCCCAAGCACTGGGATGACAGGTGTGCACCACCATGCCTAGCTTTTCATTTTAAATCACTTCTCTGTCCACGGTTTTAAGTACAAAGTCACTATGTAGTCACATAGCACTTTAAGGCGCCCTGGGGCACTCCAAAGGATATTCACTGTCTGCCAAACAGCCTGAATCTGAGATGAGAACATCCTAACCATCCTTCCTGCTTGGTGAGAAATAAGGCTCCATCCAGTGTTTTCTATGATTCAGCGGGACCTCCATGCCCCTGGCTGAGGGAGGAAGGCCAGGCTGTCTGCAGAAGTAGAACTGGCTTCCTCCTCCCTGCTGAGCTCTCAGCCCCTGGGAGGGCAGAGCTGGCTGCACTTGTGAGGCCTGGGGACAGTCACACTGCTGCTCGGGAGAGAGATCTGCTCAGGGCACCTCACCAGCACTCCAGACCTGAGCATGATGTGGCCTAAAAGCCATCCCACTGTGAAGATGAGGGGGGATAGCAGAAATAAACATAGGCAGAAAGGAGGCAAGGAAAATCGATTGTGCTTTTAGAAAAACTGCAGCTTCCAGATACAAAAGTTATTCAAGCCTTTTTTCCCATCCAGGAAACTAAAAACAAAACAACAACAACAAAAATGACAACAAAACTCCTAAAGCTCTTCCAGAGCCTCTCACGGTAAGTTCACTTCTCCTGCAGACCTCCGCGCTCAGGGTGCAGGAGTAGTGGGCAGCAGATCGCAGCCTCCGACACAGTTAAATGATCGAGTTCTCACCTGCATGCTAGGTGGGTGGCCTGGCAGACAGTGGATCGCCATTTTGGAGACACCCAAAACCACATAAGTAGCCATTCCTGGCCTGACCCACGTCATTTTCTGAATACTCACACTCCGAAGTGTGTGCCTTCTTTTCTAAATCTTTTCTGTGCCTACTACTAACAAGTCTCAGAAATGCTTTTTCTATGCTAGGAGTCACCTAACTTGCTGGTGGGGTAAGTGGAAGTTCCCCATCTTCTCTTTTGGGAACTCCTCAGACCCTGTCTGGTGACAGAAAGATAGCAGCACTGGCCACTCAGGAGTCCTAAAGTATCAAAGATGGGTGGCAGGCCAAACATGATGGTGCATGGCTGTAATCCCACCATTCAGGAGGCTGAGGGAGGAGGATTATCAGGAGTTTGAGGCCAGCGTGGAATGCAGAGACCTTGTCTAAAAAAAAAAACACCACAGGGCAAAGGAGAAACAGACTCCTCCAGGGTTACTTTACGTACATATGTCTAATTACAACATATTCATAAAAAAGTCACTATCAAAAGATATTAACTATTTTCCTTAAATTAAATAACAGCATGAAAAGCAAGTATAATACATATAAATACTTATTCAATGTTTCACTTCTGCCTTAGTGTGAATATATGTATATGCTATATTCTCTGCGGATAAGTATATTTTTGTATTCAAAAAGCCTAAGAGTTTGCTGGGCGTAGTGTTGCATTCCTGTAATCTCAGCACTGAGGAGATTGAGGCAAGGAGATCAGGACATGTTCAAGGCCAGCC